TAGTACGTGGACCGACAGAATAAAACATGCACAGAAACGATAAGATATGTTGAAATACACTTGTAACAAAGGCGTTAAAAAAATATTGAGATCAGAAGAAATAAATTTCATAGAAATTATCAGACACCGTTTTTATTGAAATGTATATTATTTTTTCTGGAAAAAAAGTGGTTTCACGTGAAATTTGGCGCCACATGCGCGCGATTCGCTATCTGATTGGTTAAAACATTCTTAGATGACTAAGTGTGTGATAGCCTAGCCTCATCAGTATTATTCACTGTATTGAAATTATCGTTGTCATCTATTTAATTCCCCTTATTTCCCAAGACCAATGTCAACTGCTTTTTGATTTAGTATCGTCTTTTACTACATGGTGTTGTGTTTCAGTATAAGAGTCAGTATTGTTGTTTGTTATGTTTATTAGTGTGATTAAAAAAAAAATATCAAGTTTAAAAAACATTTTTTAACAACTTTACAAAAAAATAAAATTAAAGATCTGTTCTATTCATTTGAGATATGGCACTGTTTTGTAAATATTCGACGAGAAACGTGGTGTTGACGTTGCTGGTTGAGATGAGGACATTCGCGAAGGAGTTACATTCTAGAATAAAACTAAAGTAAGACTTGACAGCGGTAGTATTTGTTTCACTTACAAATGATGATGAAGAGTGAATACCAAACCGTGGCGTCAATTGAGGTTGAGTAAAAGATACATCCCCATCGAATGCAGATTCACAACACTAAAGAAAACAAAAAGTAAAACACAATCCATGATATTATTTAAGCTTACTGAATTATGTTGAGAAACATACTTTCTCTCTATAAGAAATGTTTCGTTGGTTTGATCGAAGTAATTCTTGTTCTTATTATGTTCATCGTTGATTCTTGAAGAATGATCATCGAAAACGTTTTCGTCGTTATAATCGGTAGAGGACATTGTTGATTGATTTGATGACTGAGTTACTTGTAATAATGAATAACTGCTTTCAGAACCGGACATACTTATCTGTAAAAATAAATAAATAAAATAAGCCCTTGACAGTAATTATATTATACCGATGTTGAGGAATCTGTTGGTACTGATGCTTCATTATCACTGTTTGCCATATCTGTTTGATTAACATCTTGACTGTATGTAGTCATATTTACATCACATTCCGAATTGTCCATGATAAGTTGATTAAATTGAAAAACTTGTGAATTCTAAAATTAAAAACAAACTAAAAAAATGCTGCTTGCTTAAAAAAAAACATTTTCTTAGACATGATTTCGATTTTGGCATTTTTTCTTTGAACATTTACATAAAATTGTACAAATGAGGCCATTTTTTCCACATGAACATCGATGACAGTCGCTGGAGCACTTGCCACATATTGATAAACGAGGATCTGATGGAATATAACTAACCGATAACCATTTCAATTGAATTTGATCATGAATTATTTCATAACCATCTGATTTATCAATTGGTTCAATTATAATGTCTGGATGATATACTTGATTCCATATTTGGACCTGCCGTGCTGCTCTTTGACAATGATGATGAAAACCATTTGTAGTTGGTGGGAGAGTAGGAGCAATAAATTTTGATCGGTTTTGTTTAAATGCTGATACAGCTATTGATGCTCTAAGTTCGTCAAGACTTGATGAATTGTTGGATGTTGAATAGCAATCCAATAGTAAACGCTCAGCAGTTGCCATTGATCCTTCTAAAATTAAAATAATATTGTCATATGTACACGAATACTTCGATTAGGAAAAACATACCCGATAGTGGTGATTCAAAAAATCCATTAAGACCTGAATATCGATGCGTATGAGAGAAAAATGTTCGAAACATATTTGTTTTAGAAACATTTCGAATAAATGACGTTGTGTCACAACCTGATAAAGCATGAATTACCAATAATAGCATTGGATCCATCGAAAACTTTCTTTTTAACTCGCAAGCAATGTCACTAACGTTGATGTACGTATTGAATTTTGCTTTTGTATTAAATGACTTGATGTAAAAATTATCAATATCCAAATGAAGTGCATGAGCTATTCCCAAAATTAATACATCAGTATCATTTGCTTGTATTATGATTGATCTAATATTGTCGTAGGATATTGCTTGTGCATGTAGGAATACTCTTGTATCGGCTTCTACGTGATTTGATTGTAGTAAATAGTCTTCGAATGGATCTTCAAATTTCTTCAGTGTCACCGACGATTCATTAGGTCCAGCCACAACCAGGACTTTCCCATAAGGCAGCTGTTGAGTAGTTATCTTACTGGACCAGCATTCTCTTACACAGGAGGCAACTACCGCTCGATTATTATGTATTAGTGTTGGATAATCAGAATCGAGAATGTCATCGCACTTGAGATTGTAAGTAGATGTTTTTCTACCTTCGTGACGTGAAATAAAAGATTTGACTATTTTTGTTTTGCTTGAATCGAAGACAACATCGATACGGTCGTATAAGTAAAAATTATACAAAATGACCTAGAAGATAAAATCACTATTGTGCGTAATTTTCAATTCATTCTTACTGTTTTCAGCAACTGATTTGCATATTGACGAACTGTAATGGATCTTCCAACTGGTTTCGTTTCGAGCATTGTTCCACCGTCTATTACTAGAGCTTTTATACCACTAATGTTCGGCATTGAAGATGAAAATGATGAAGGAAATATGGATCTTATATAATCAATGGCGATATGCTTCTTTTGTTGATTCATGATATTATAATTGTTTATCTGGCATAGTGATAGAGGTGCTGGAGTAAATTCATGACAAAATATAGATGACAATGGTATGTCTCTTTGTTCACCAATAATGAAACTATCACGCATAAGTCGATCTACTGAATGTAAAACTTTTGATAAATCTTTAGATTGAATGTTCAGTAAACGACTTTTTTTGCCATTAGTTTGTTTTCCAGATATATAAGTATCAGCATCACTTAATTCTAAAAAGATATTTCATCAAGAAAAATTAATTAATATTGATAAATTTTCACCTACTTAAAAATCTCATTCCTTTCAATGTTGTTGAAATATCAATATTTTTTTTCACGAGACGATCTTCTATGTAATTCAACATGGCTTCTTGACCTCTAATGAACGATGTGGATATATTTTCAATGATATCATGATGGATAATTTTGCCCGATAAAAGTTTACGAAATTGCACAGTATGTACACCGAATATATCTTCTTGTTTTATTTTTATGAGCATCTGTTGTAGTTCATAATTATCACAAGCTTGTCGTGATGAACCACATTCATTATGAGAATCGACACTGTTTGAATTTGTTTCAATTTTGCATATCTCGTGACAAATACTGCTTAACATTGCTCGAAAAGAAAACGATTTGGTCCACACATCAATACTCTCATTCGTGAACTTTCCACTTATTCCACCGTGACTTTTACCATCTTTGTTGATTGTAGACTCTATGGTTTGGTCAAGTGCGATGCCTAGTATAAAGACATCTTTACTTATCACTTTGACAACATCTTCTGGGAGGATCTTACTAGAAAAAGGGCGTCTGGTCCTGATAACAGCAAAAGCTTTTGCCAATCTTTCAATTAAGGGTGAACTTGCTGTGGATAGATCAAACAGATGCTCAGCACACAGCCTAGCGTAGTTCCGATGATTTGTAGCAAAAAAAATCGGGCCCAGGCGTGCTACACATTCGTTCCTTGCGTTGAAGTCAGATGTTCTGATGGATGAATATAAAATCATCAAAGGTTCTAACAGGTTGCTCAATAGGAAGAACCAAAAACAAAATGATGATGACATTTTAGATTGATCTTTTGCCCAAATGGTCATTTTTGACAACAAATCATCTTCCTTGATAGTAAGTAATATATTTTTGAACCACATTTGCTTATGAAAATCAACACTGTACTCATTTGGTGCACTCTCAAACAAAGGACCAAATTGGTCAAGTATAGATGAAATATTTGATGCTGAAGTTCTTTCTTTATTCAAAGCTATGGTTGATTTTACATAAGACTCTAGTAATAAAATTTGCAAAGCAGTATACAGCAGCTTGCAACAGCGAAATGACTTATTGAAGTGATATACATTTAGGATTGAGCGCAATGTCGCACCTTTATAGACGAAATTCAAAATATCTTCCATACCAGATCCGTCCAATACTTGCCAAATTACAATCATCGTCGTCTTCATCAGGTGAAAATCACCAGGATAAATGAACACACCATCAAATTCGTTTGGATTATTTCCGATTACCTAATTCATAAAATATTCAATAGATAAAAATATAAAATGTATATTCATACTTTTGTACAAATATGAAACAACTTCTCATCGACGACAACAACAGCAGTCTGTTGATGATTTAATTCAAGAATGTTGGTTTTTGTCTCACGAAGAGAAGCTTCAATTGTTGTCACATCATTTGGATTTTCTTTGATAGGGCAACAGTATTTGACTGTATGAATCGGACGACTTCGATTGTTTAAATATGTTGCAAAAAATCCTGATAGAATTGGAAAGTGTATAGGTTTTGATAAAACTAAATTCCCATTGGTATCAAATAAATCAAAACACTTCACGAGACAATATCCGAGAAGGCTGAATTTCAGAGATAAGTCAAAGCATGATTTGTATTCAAATAATTGTTTTGGTGGCTTAATAGCTTCAACAACGAGTGATGGTGGCGTAGAAGTGCTTATACAATCAATAATATCATTAATTACTTCATTAGCAGTGATATAAGCTTCATCATTTCTAAAATAATAATAAAAAAACATATTATCCATAATATTTTCTCATACTCTTACTCTATCGTTTGAACAATTATTTGATTCAACATATGTAAACTGTTTTCTCCGTGAAGTGTTTCTTTGTTCATATCAAAATTATCGATCACTTTGATTAAGAAACCAGTATTCAAAACTTCATTAGAATGTTGACCACGTTGAATTGTATCGGATAAAGTATTTACTTTATCTGCTACTTCATATTGTAATCTACGCATGGTTTTATAACTGCAGGTATGTCCTAGACGATTTGTGACTGTCAACAGTTGACAAGAGTTCTCATGTCTGAGTAATTCATTGCCAAGAAGATAGTGCTTTGGTGTAATGAAATTTCGATTGAATGCATTAATTATATCATATGATATGGATGCGATTTTCAATTTTTTATCATGATTAGTTAAAACATTTTCGGTGAACACTAAATGAAAAATATGCAATTATTTTAGTTAGACATTCATGAAATTAGTATCTATATTCACTTGAATAAAAGTCGTATTGTTTTTTGATTTCATTAAATTCTTTACTACTGGCTGTCAATAACCCAATGAAGTTTTTCAATAAAATGGGAATACAATCCCAAAATATGTTGGAATCTAAATCTATCAAAGATAGACGATTCTTTTTCAACATCGAAAAATAGTGGGAGTAATTCTCAATCGATTGCCGTAACAATTGAACAGCTTCAAATATATTTTCACATGGTCTTTGTGCCGTTTCTGGATTACTGTTTATGCGAGGTACACTTTGGTGGTTTGTACTCAAACTTTTATCATCATGCATCAATTTAGACAGAATAACCGATAAATCATTAAGAGCAACGTATAATCCTTCACATTTTCTTCTATAGTAAAACATTATTTGATTACCAAATTTTTGTTCTAAACGAGCACGAAGAGCGCTAGCAAGTAGCATTGAAGAAGAGCATCTTTCGTTTCGCACACGCAAAATTTGTTTATATTTGGTTTTAATATTGTTCATAGACACAATTATTCCTTTCATCAATACAGGACTAAGCCAATCGGACAATTCTTCAAACCCAGTTATATATATGTTATCAATATTAACCTGTCCAGTGCCATTCAAATCATGATCAATATACACTGCAGCATTCGATGACAGTCTTGATATTCTTTTTAAGATTTTGTAGGATGGACTACGTTGTCGCTTCAAACTCGTATTATTCGATCTAAACTAAAAGGAAAACATGTTCATTATGAAATTCCTCAACATGTTTCTTGGATACTTAACACTTTTGCGATTCTTTCGATGAATCAAAACACATGTTTCAGTATCTTTGGTCATATTTATATATTCATTAGTTTTATTCTCCGATGTTGATTTTTCTATTGTGAGTTGTTTTGATGAGCAAAGTATTTCAGTACTTCCTTCTTCTTGAATATCCATGACTGCTGGACTAGAACCACTTATCTAAACAAAATAAAAATGATATGTGTGTTTTCTTCGTACATTTACATGTATAGGTTTGTGAGCACGCCACGTATGTTAAATATCTAGATGTAAAGAACTACTGAACGCTAGTGAATTAATAAATCAAAGGTAAAATAAATTGGAATTGAAACTGCTGAGTCCTATTTCAATTGTCGCTTTACTAATTCAAGTAATACTTAGAAGTATAAAAGTCAGGCTTCGAGAAGCAACAAATCAAAATATTGAACTCACTTGTTCATTAGTAATTTCAGATAAATTATCTTCAGCACCATTCATACTTTGATCGAACATAATCATACCATCATTGAGATTAACATCGTATGATACTAATGATATTTGAATCCTAGTTATGATAATGGTTATTCTTTTTCTCACTTACTTTCAGTTTGACAATAGGTTATTGATGAACCATTAGTTGTTTTTACTGACACACAAGTATTTGCTACGTCATCATAATAGTCATCAATGTTTTCCACAAAATCATTTGGATCAGATGACGCAATATGTATTATCGGAATCTAAAATATGGAGAGCAGAATATTTTTTCTCTATACAGACAAGTATAAGCATATTTACGTACCTGTTGTATATTAGTATCAGGTTCAGTTTGTATACACGATGGTTCACTTGATATATCATCATGAGTAACACAGGTTGAAGATTCTAACGACTTTTCCAGTTCTTCCTGTTGCACTGTAATTGAAGCGACGTTTCGAGTAACATTAATATAACATCTCCTGTGTACGTAACAATTCTTTATTGTTTGATCCGATATTTCAGCTTCAAATAGCAAGCGATAGCCTATGCGAAGTTTTTCCTCGCACTTAGTAGATGCGATATGGATGTATTTACTTTTCCCAACGGCTTCAATTTTTTTACAAACTAAACATTGCCTAGTTCTAGTTGGCATTTTCTACGACGAATAATCTGATTTAATGCAAATAATACGCAACTAATGTATAACAATATAGAAACAGGTTCCACAAATTCAATACAAAAGTTACAATGATGACAATGACAGTCTCCTTTCTCCTCTCTTCTGTTCACATTAAGACGGGTGCCATTGTCAGACATAGCAACCACTCTTCTCTTCAGCTAGATGTCGCTACAGCTAACTTCTTGGTTTCTAGTTGTCAGAAGAATTTTTTTTCGAAATTATGATCAGTTTTTTATGAGGTATTTTCGTGGGAATTTCCATCTTAAAATAGTTGGTTTCACCAAAGTGCATTAATGGATACAGAATTCAACATTCAAACGATGACTAATGCGAGTTTGTCCACTGACTA